GAGCCCTGGGGGGGGGGGGTGGCGGCGGGGGTCTCTCTGGGACTGGGCTGAGAGAGGCCACGGAGTGTGGAATGAGAGGGCCTCGGAGTAGCAAAGGTGTTCTGGGGCCAGAATGGGAGACAGCGGAGTGGAATGAATGAAAGCCCCTGGGGGGGTGGGGAGAAGGAGAAGAAGGAGAAGAAGAGGTTGGGTTTCTACCCTTCCCTTCACTATCCGGAGGAGTCTCAGGGCGGCTCACAAACTCCTTTCCCTTCCCCTCCCCACAACAGACAGACAGACACCCTGTGAGGTAGGTGGGGCTGAGAGAGCTCCGACAGAAACTGCTCTTTTTCGAGGACAGCTCTTATCAGAACTACAGCTGGCCCAAGGCCATCCAGCAGGTGCAAGTGGAGGAGGAGGGGGGAGGCTCTCCCAGATTAGAGTCCGCACACTTAACCACTACACCAGACTGGGTAGCCGCAGTACTCTAGGAATGGAATGACATGCCACTCTGATGCCTGTCATTCCAGTCCCAGAACACTTCTGCTACCCTCTGTGGCTGTGAGTCCACTCTGGGGCCTCTCAAACCCAGTCCCAGAACACTTCTGTTACTCCTAGGGGCTGTCACTCCAAGCTGGGGCCTGCCATTCCATTCCCAGAGTAGTCTTTTTGGGGCCCAGAGACCCTAATGGAAAATCCATTTCTCTTTTTTATTGCAACTCTATTTGTACTGTAATGTATTTCAATGGAGCCCATGCAATTGACATTCCTGTCTCCCATTATTCCCAGTGGGCCTTCAAGTGTTTCCCATTGTATCCAATTGGCAATCCTGTCCTCCTTTTTAGTACATCCCTGTGAGGGGGACTTCGCCAGGCGGCCTTCAATGTTGAAGCATCACTCGAATTCCCACAGGAATTCCCACAGGAGACGCTGCAGGAGGGGAGGGGTTGGCTGGGCGCTGGCTAAAGAAGGGGGTTCCTGCCTGCTGGCTAAAAAGACTTCCGCTTCTGTGGGGGGGGCCCTGGAGCCGCTGGTGCCCTCCCACGTCAGGTTTCTTATTTACGTAATGACTTCCTTGAGATCCTGCTTTCCTTCAGACAAGACTGCGGCGGGTGAGAGGTGCTGAGGTGGCCGTGTTGCGCTTCCCTCGCCCGGTGCAGCCTGGACCGTGCAAGCTGTGCGCCCTTTTTCAGGATGTGGGGCGCTCCACCCACCCCCCTTCACAGACTTTCAGGGGGAGCAGGCAAGGGGTGGCAGCGGCGACGCTAAGCCGGCCGCCGTGGGCCTGTTTCTGCTGCTCCACCCTCCCACCTTCACAGCCTTTCGGGGGGAGCAGGCGAGGGGCAGCGCCAGCGGTCGCAGGTACATTTTCACTGCTACGCCCCCTTCTTCACTCTCTCTTCCTTTCTCCCTATGTCCCTTCATTCTTTCCCTCTATTACTCTTCCTTTATCTAATCTTTCTACTCCCCACCCACCCTGCCTTTCTAGGGTTCGTTGTCTTCATCCACAATGGGCTTTGCTCCCTAGTTTTTGTATAAATCATATTTTTAACCTCTTCCCACATCTTCAGCAATAATGCTCTTAGCATATGTTGTTTAAATTCTTTATGAATACTGCTTTTCTCATACCATACGAAGGCGTGCCAACCTAGTTTCAAATCATGACCTTCTAACTTTAAGAGTCTTGGATTTTCCAAAGTGATCCACTCTTTCATCCACGTCAGAGCTGCTGCTTTATGATAAAGATGCCAATCTTGTATTGCGAAGCCTCCTTTTTCTTTTGCATCCTGTAGTACTTTCATACTAATTCTGGGTCTTTTACTTTCCGTATCATTTTATCTACTTCCTTAAAATACTGTTGATTTTTCAAAATTGGAAGAGAAGTCTAGGTAGCACATTCATCCTTACAGTAGCTATTCTTCCCATAAAAGATAGTTGTAAATGTTTCCAGTTTTCCAAGTCTTTTTTAATTACAGTCAAAGGTTTCATGTCATTGTCTTTTAACAATGAGCTACACCTATTGGTATTTTATTTTATTTTCTTCTGAACTTCAGTGCCAGAGCTGTCTTGTAATTGCTGTATCTGTTCTTTGGTGCAGTTTCGTGTTAAAACAGCTATCAACTTGGCATTGTGGTGAAAACTTCCTCATAATGGTGAGAACAATTTATACAAAACAGTATGCTAAAGTTTTGATAAATGGGGACCTTTCACAAAATATTGAAATTTATTTATTTATTTGGCTTCTATCCCGCCCTTCCACGTGGGCTCAGGGCGGCTAACAAGAGGCAGTTGCCACACATAACACTAAAACCAGATAAAACAATCAATTCCATTTACATTTACACTTTAAAATCGGTGCTTGTAACAATATGTCATCCAAGACGGGATTCCAGTACAATGTTTCAGAGGATCTACTGTCTCCTCTTGATCGGTCTACGCTATGTCCGTTCTTCATTCCCAAGGCCAGATCGCATTGCCAGACATGGCAGCACGGTGG